CAGATAGCCCTCGTGTAGCTTTGCGCGAAATTCAAAAATAAAACAAACTAACACAATGAAAGAGTATTACCAATACCAAATTTCAGATAAGTTTCTAAATAGGAAAACTTAAATTTTGTTTTTATTCTGCATCCAAAAATAATCCTAACATTACAGTAAGAGAGTTAAATACTAATCTGTGAAACATGATTAACGTACTACAGTTAGTGTGTTACGTTACAACATTGATGTTTATGTAACTATTTTGTCAGTGTAATTGGGTTTCCCTCTGTCTGTCTCAGTCTATCCATTCCTTTACATATACATATCTTACAATACAGTCTGATTTTACCAGTGACGCCTTCGCCCGTTTTCAAAAAATCAAATTAATAGCTTATGACTTGTCAGCAACATACTGTTGTTAGAATTGTAATAGACATCGTCCTGCCTTCTTGAATTACGCTATAGGACAAAGCAACCTTGTCAGGGAGATTGAATATTCTTTCAAAATTAATGTCATTCAGAATAGGAGAAACTGAATTCAACGCTCAGTCCATCGCAGCTTGCTGTGCCTTGTCATGTTAACAAGGACTATGTAGTGCATACAAGAAAAATAATTTAATTACGTTTCCTTTAAGTTTCCGGAATCTCAAAGAGGTCTGAATATTTAACCATTAGTATCTTACTTTCTCTTGTATTAATTAAATCATACACATCCCTTAATTACTAGCCAGTAACGCACTACATTTGTCAATAAAGCTGAGCATGGAATCAGGAGAGGAATTTCTTACCGAATAGAGTCGTTCTTGAATATATAGTCAGTGCGATAATAGTCCATTAAAGCTCATCCTTTCTCGTATTTGAGTATTGAACGTAACCACGTTTAACATAAATAAACAGAACCATACTTGGAATGAAAATGTGACAACTTCTAGGAAAGTTTGTACAGTTTGTAAAACATGTTGTAGGCTTAACACGTTATACGATTGGTTTCTTATTTTGGAAGAGACATTTTTCAAGCGTAAAAATAAATAAGCATAAAAATATAAACCCTGGTGCAAATAGTTGAATATATGAGTTAAACTTAGTACTAATACAATATTTAGGCTTCATCTTATACAGATTCTGATGCTTGCACATGTATACGTTACTTAAATCATGTTTCATACAAACCTTAGTATAGATCTTATACTATTTAGATCCCTTATTTGTAAAATGCATGCACAAACCTACCTGTTTATTTCACCTGTGTTATTTAATTCATTATGAACGTAAATAATGTTTCTTTAAAATAAAAGTTTACCTAGTTTTAACAAACGTTTATTCCTTTTCCAAACAATGTATTTCTAGCTACTGTCTTACATGTATGTGTTTAACAAGCGTTTCTTCCTCTTCCAAACAATGTATTTTAACTACTGTCTTACATGTATGTGTTTAACAAGCGTTTCTTCCTCTTCCAAACAATGTATTTTAACTACTGTCTTACATGTATGTGTTTAACAAGCGTTTCTTCATCTTCCAAACAATGCATTTTAACTACTGTCTTACATGTATGTTTAACAAGCGTTTCTTCTTCTTCCAAACAATGTGTTTCTAACTACTGTCTTACGTGTATGTGTTTAACAAGCGTTTCTTCCTCTTCCAAACAATGTATTTGTAACTACTGTCTTAAATGTATGTTTAACAAGCGTTTCTTCCTCTTCCAAACAATGTATTTGTAACTACTGTCTTAAATGTATGTTTAACAAGCGTTTCTTCCTCTTCCAAACAATGTATTTGTAACTACTGTCTTAAATGTATGTTTAACAAGCGTTTCTT